CCACTGACCTCAGTACTTGGGCACAATGCCCAGCCTGTTCCCGGGACCCCAGCATAAGAACTGCTAGGAACAGGGTTTGGGGCAGGAAGTCAGAGTGAAGCATTGACTTAACAAAGTTACAAAGTTCCCTGTCCCCTAGTCCTATGGGGGTGGGGTGACAGCTGCTGTTCTTTGGGGTTAAATATAGTCCAGTTGGTTATGGGTCCTCAGTGTGGTACAGCCAGCCTAGCTTCCCTCTTTCTTTTGTTGGTTCTTTCATTCATTCAACACTCTGGGCCCAGCCCATGCTGGGGACATGAGTCAGCCCTCAGCTTTTCCCCTACGAACTCCCAGGCCAGAACCAGTGAGGTTCTTGTGGGGCACGGGGATGTGTGAGAGGCTGTGGAGGCTCAGAGCAGCCAACACAGCTGGGGGATCACAGAAATCTCCTGGCAAAGGTGGCTTTCAAAAAGTTATTTTCAGTCTTATTTTTAGGGGGAAGGTAATAGATGCATGTTGTTCAGAAAGAAAAAGTCAAGGGCAAAATAGCAAATATACAGTGAAAAGTAAGTTTCCCTTGAACTTACTGTTCCCCCTTCCCATCTCAGAAGGCAACCTTATCAATTTCTTCTATCTTTCAAAGATAATCTGTGCATATCTGTTTCAGGAGGAATTGTATATCACTTTGAAAAACACAACTTGTAATATACCATGGATGACGTCCTGCACTTTGTTCTTTTTTTATGACCTTTTGAGTATTTCAGACTTACCAAAAAGCTGAAATAATAGTATAATGAAAACCTGTATATCCTTTACCCAGATTCACCAGGTCTAACATTTTTCCACATTTGCTTTACCTCTTCTTATATACATAGACATGTGTATATATGTATTTTTTTGCTGATATAGTTGCGTGTTAGTTGCAGGCATCATACCTTTTACTCCCAAGTATTTTACTTTATTTTTTATTGATTGATTTTTAGAGAGAGACATCCATTTGTTGTTCCACTTACTTATGCATTCATTGGTTGATTTTTAAAAATTTTTTATTGATAGTAAGAGAGAGGGAGGGAGTGAGAGAGAGAAATATCAATGTGAGAGAAACATCTATCAGTTGCTTCCCGTATGTGCCCCAACCGGGGATCAAACCTGCAACCCAGGAATGTGCCCTGACCAAGAAGCAACCTGCCACCCTCTGGTGTATGGGACTACGCTCCAACCAACTGAACCACACTGGCCAGGGCTCATTGGTTGATTCTTGTATGTGCCCTGACTGGGGATCGAACTCGCAACCTTGGTATATTTGACACTCTAACCAACTGAGCTACCTGGCTAGGGCTTACTCCCAAGTATTTTAGTGTGGATCTCTTACATAATCTCAGTACCATGGTCACACTTAATATTGTCTAACATTTCCATTTTCCCAATTGTCCCCTAATTACTTTTATAACTAGTTTTCTCTCTTTTTCAGAATCCAATTCAGAATCACTCATTGAATCTTGTCATGTTTCTTCCCCTTCCCCCCCCCCCAGCTTTATTGACATATAAACCGTTGTAAATTTAAGGTGTACAATGTAATGATTGGATACTTGCATATATTGCAAAAAGTTACCATAGTTACAATATGGTTAGTTAACACACCTTTCACCTCACATAATTACCATTTTGTTGTTGTATTATGTTTCTTTCTGTCTTATTTCATCTAGAACATTCCCCAGCCTTTGTTTGTTTGTTTTGTTTTGTCTTTTATGACATTGACTTTAAGCATCCAGGCCAGTTGTTTGGGCTCCCTCTGATAGCATCCTCCTGAGTGAGTCAGATACCACACCAGAGCCTATCTCTTCCTCTGGGCATCATAGCAGGAGGCACTCAGTGTAGCTTCTCTCATTATTGGTGATGCTTAATTTGACCATTTGGTTAACAAGGTGCCACCAGATCTCCCTATTGTGAAGGTCCTTTTTCCTCTTCTGATTAATCTGTGGGCTGGTACTTGGAAGCTGTGTACAGCAGCTTTTCCTTCAGTGACTTGGGCTGACTTTTGCCATTTCTACTTACTCTGTTATGAGGAGTATTGTGTATCAGCTGCTAAAGATCTGCTCTGGCCCCATCATCTGTTCCCTTTTAGGAATATCTGGTCATTTATTTACTTGGCCCCTTATTAATGAACATAAAAAGATTGTCTCTTCATCTCTTGCTACTACAAACAGTACTGCGTGGACTGTCCCACTACATTTTTTAGGCACACATCCAACAGAAGCATTTCCTCCTCTGCGCCCTGAAAGTTGAGTGGAATTTCCTTGGGTAGAGCAGGGGGAGGGAGGGAGAAGATAATGGCAAGGCAGGACATGGGAACAACAGGTAGAAAACAGGTGTAGCTAAGGCACTGCAGAGCCAGCAAGTCCCAGAGCAGCCCTGGAGCTGTGGGTGTTATCACCAGCCTGTTTTATTGATGGGGGCACTGGGTTGCCAAGTTGCAGCCAGTAGAGGAAATGGAATAATTGACCTCCTCACTCTCCAAGGCCAAACCCCTGAAGGAAGGCTACCCAGATTACTGCTGCCTTCGGCTTGCCCCTGCCTCTGAGCATCTTTTGCTTCTCTCTCCTCCCTTGCACTCTCCCTCTCCTAGACCAGTGTGGTCCTATGGTGTGGGCAGGGGAGGCAGGGAGGCACAGAGGTGGGTGACACCTGAGCCCTCACTTGTCAGTGGGGCAAGATGGTCACTTGTGACCTCAGGCAAAGCCACCCTGCCTTTTGGCCTTGCTTGGGATCCCCATTTACAAAATGGGGTAGCCACTCTCTCAGTTGTTAGAGGACTTGACGAGCCATAACGTGTCAAAGGCAGGGCCTGGCACAGAATAACTGCTCAGAAAACAGGGCCTGTTATTATTTTTTTATTATCATCATCAAGTCAGTGGGGAGGCGGCAGCAGCTGCAGGCTGGGAAAAGAATGTTTGCAAACTGACAGCTGGGAGGGTGACTAATGGTACCACAGCCTCCAAGCCATCCTGCAGTGCTTGTTTTGGGGGTAGGGGGGGTGTGGGATGTGGAGAGCAAGCCGAGCCCCTATTTAGAAGGGCCTGAGGTTGGGGGACCAATACAAGGTCTGAGCTGTCACCCAAACTAGCTGTGTGACTTCAGGCAAATGAGCCTTATTTTTGCTTCCATAAAATAGGGGTAAGGAGCTCACAGCTCCTACAGTATGCAGATCACAAGAGCCCAGGGAGTGGTTTCTGTACTCCGGGTGGCTCAGTCATATGAATGTGTGTGGGGGGGAGCAAGGTTCATCCTCCCTGGGCCTCAGTCTTCCTGTCAGATGGCAAAGGTTGATGGGTTGGCCTTTCGGGAAGGGAAAAGAGGCAGAGGGTTTGTGCCAGACACTTCCAAGTCTAGGGCCTCATTCCACTCCTCCCATAGCCTGCTTGCAGGGGACCCAAGTCTTTACTTTTCAGGGTGAGGAACCTGAGGCTCAGAGGGTCGAGTCATTCACCCGAGTTGCACATTCAACAGAGCCAGGTCTGCCTGAATCTAGAACCAGAATTGTAGCCTGGAAGTGGTGGTGGATGTCCCTGCTCTACCCTCCCTGGCTCCTTCTTGTCTCTGAGACCACACGCTCCACTGCTGAGGCCCAGGCCCCAGGACCCCCAGAAGTAAACCCTGGTTCCTCACATTGGCATTTGAAGCCCCTGCACTCTGCAAAGTTTATGCCAGGCCCAGCTTAGTAAATTACCACATAGTGAACCCACCCCCTGACTGGGCTCAGACAATTGTGTAACCAGCATCCAAAAGCCCCCCTCATACCCCTTCCAGTCACTGCCTCCCAAGGGCAGTCGCCATCCTACACCATGGATTAGGCCCACTTTGGGACTTTATACAAATGAAATCACATGGCATGCATTCAGTCTGTGTCTGGCTTCTTGGTTAACACTATGTTTAGAGGTTTATCAGTGTTTCATAGCTGTAGCTTATTGATGTTCGCCACAGCGCAGTGTTTCATCCTGTGGATATACCACAGTTTATCCATCTGACTTTGGAGGCATCTGGGCAGCTCCCAGTTTGAGGCCTATTACAAATAGTGCTGCAGTGAGTGCTCTTGTGTCTACCTCAGTGGATACCTGCTCTGTTTTCTCTTGGGTGTGCACCCAGAAGTGGGGTTACCAGGCCATAGGATCAGTGTGCTTTGGCTTTAGAGATACCTCCTGGGCAAGTTTTTAAAGACAAAGAAACTAAAACACCCTCAGAGGACAAGTGACTCTCCCAGATCACATAGCACCTTCCCCAGGTTCACAGAACTGCCCTGGGCCCCCTTCCCCCACAGACCAGTTAGCTAGCATTGGGCTTGGGGCTGGTGGGGCAGGTGGCACTGGTGCTACTCAGCCCCCAAACCTCCTTTGCCTTTGTTGGCTCTTCTGTTGGTCTGTAAGGCCCACTGTAAGCTTAGGGTTGGTGGCCCTCTTGCCCCCAGTCCCAGCTCTGGCCTCCTTTGACACCTGTTTTTTTTTGTTTGTTTTTTTAATATGTTTTTATCGATTTCAGAGAGAAGAAGGGAGAGGGAGTGAGAGATAGAAACATCATTGATCGGCTGCCTCCTGCACACCCCCTGATAGGGATCGAGCCCATAACTTGGGCATGTGCCCTGACCGGGAATTGAACTGCAAGCTCCTGGATCATAGGTCAGTGCTCAATCGCTGAGCCATGCTGGCTGGGCTGGCACCTGTTTATATTGCTGTGGGGAAGGAGTGGGATCTCACTGACTTGGGATAGCCATCGTCTCACACTCCTCAGTCTTTTTCCCCCCCGTTGCTTTCCAGAAAGAGTGGAAGAGGGAGAGAGAAACATCAATGTGAGAGAGACACACTGATTGGTTGCCTCCTGCACATGCCCCAACCGGGCCAGGGATCGAGCCTCCAACCGATGCACATGTCTTTGGCCAGAATCAAACCCGCAACCCTTCAGTCCGTGGGTGGATGCTCTAACTACTGAGCCAAACTGGCCAGGTCTCAGTCTTCCTTTTCTCCCCACAGCTCTCATGGTACCAAGTGACAGGTTCGCCTTCCTGTGACAGACCTTCTGAGAAGATGTCAGCAATACAGGTAACATGGGGGTGGGGTCTAGGGCAGTTGAGTATCCCCACCACACCTATAGGGGTGCTGAGTGGAAAAGAGGGCTCAGATCAATTTGCTCCCCTTTTCCCCAGCCCTCTGTCACAGCTCTGGCTTTCAACAAAGTGGAATTCCAGGGTGCACTGTCACAGGGCCCTCAAGATGGGAGCACAGGTCTGGGGCAGTGGGGGAATATGAGCTGGAAGGATCCCAAAATTCTTATGGGAGGAGGCACATCACCTGTCTCATGGAGGCCAGCCAAGAGCTATGACCTCGAGGATTTGTGGCAGGTGGGTGGAGACGGACCCCAGGCTGCACCTGCCCACTTGTTGCCTGTCCTGCAGGCCGCCTGGCCATCTGGTACAGAATGTATTGCCAAGTACAACTTCCATGGCACTGCTGAGCAGGACCTTCCCTTCTGCAAGGGAGATGTCCTCACCATTGTGGCCGTCACCAAGGTAATCAGGGACCTCACATGTCTACCTCCACTTTCTCCCACCTCTGGGCTTTCCCTCTGGATCCTGGTTCCCTGCAGGGGAGGGTGAGTCTGAGAGCATGTCTGGGCTGCCCTCTCCCCAGGACCCCAACTGGTACAAAGCCAAGAACAAGGTGGGCCGTGAGGGCATCATCCCAGCCAACTATGTCCAAAAGCGGGAAGGCGTGAAGGCCGGCACCAAACTTAGCCTCATGCCGTGAGTACCGCTGAGGGGAGGTGTCCTCTCCCAGTCTAGGGAGGAGGGAGGATGAGGAGCCCTGATTCCCCCAGGAGAGAATCAGGAAAACGGAGGTCAGAAGAAAATGCTGAAATATCCTAAGGGCTTCTCAAGATGAGGGGAAGGGCATGGGTGCTGGACCTCAAAGGGGGAGGATGGGTCTTAGACTGAAGAGAGAAGGGTGGGAACAGAGGGAGGGCCTTCAGAAACTGGAGCCTGGCAGATGCAGGAGGAGGCTGGCAGGGGCACCAGGCTCCATACCCTTCGGCCACCATGACCCCTGGCCTGGCATCCCTAGCTGGTTCCATGGCAAGATCACACGGGAGCAGGCAGAACGACTTCTGTGCCCACCAGAGACGGGCCTGTTCCTGGTGCGGGAGAGCACCAACTACCCTGGCGACTACACGCTGTGCGTGAGCTGCGATGGCAAGGTGGAGCACTACCGCATCATGTACCATGCCAGCAAGCTCAGCATTGATGAGGAGGTGTACTTCGAGAACCTCATGCAGCTGGTGGAGGTGAGCCGCAGCACCCACAGGCCTGGATGCTGGCTCCAGTCCCACTGCTTCTGACTGACCTCAGGACTGTGTTGCAGACTCGATGGCACCTACTATGTGCCAGGATGAATCTCTGATCCCACAATGCCACCATAGGGAGGGTGGCACTATCCCCATTTCTTTTTTGTGTGTGTGTACTAGTTGTGTGTGTGTGTTTGTTTTTGTTGTTGTTTTTTTAAATATATCTTTATTGATTTCAGAGAGAGGAAAGGAGAGAGAGAAGCATCAGTGATGAGTCATTGATCGAGCCCACAACCCGGGCATGTGCCCTGGCCGGGAATCGAACCCGGATCGCCTGGATCCTAGATCGATGCTCAACTACTGAGCCACACCCGGCCGGGCTGTGTGTGTTTTTAATATTTATTTTTAGAGAGAGAGAAAGGGAGAGGGAGAAAGAGAAACATCCATGTGAGAGCAGAACACTCTACTCTCACATTGGCTGCCTCCTGCACACCCCCTACCGGGGATCGAGCTGCAACCTGGGCATGTTCCCTGATCGGGAATCGAGCCAGCAACATTTTGGTGCATGGGACGACACTCAACCAACTGAGCCAACACCAGCCAGGGCACTATCCCATTTCATAGGCCAGGAAATGAAGGTTCAGAGCAGTTAAGAGACTTGCCTGAGGTCCCATAGCTGTAAATTGGAGGTGCCAGGACTTGAATCTGAGTCTGTCTGATCCTAGAATTAGCTTCCTTCCAGCCACTTACAGAACTATAAGCATGTCCTCATGAGCTACACCTTAATGACCAGGGTCCCCTGGGCTCATGTACCTGCAAGGATGTGCTCACATGTCCCTGTAGCTCCTGAGGCCAGCTCTGCCAGCCCTGGCCTGGTCACACCTGTAGCCCCAGGCAGCCTGCTAGGTGCCTCATGAATTCACTCTCTGCTTCTTCCCCTTGCCCGTCTGGCTTGGTCTCTGGCAGGGGAGGGTCCTGGGCATGCCTGGCTACAGGCTGGTGTCTGGACTTAGTGAGGGCTTGCCCTCTGCCTGGGAATGCTGATGAGGACCAGAGTGGTAGCAACAGTGGGGGATCTGTCCAGCAACTGAGTGTGGGGTAATGTGTCAGTGTCTGGGGCCTCCTTAACCCAAGCCTTGCCAGAAATAGGGAGCCCTCTCAAACCAAAGCAACTTGGGGCTGGGTGGGATGAGCCTCTGCCACCCTCTAGTGGTCAGACCGTGGCAGTGCGTGTGAGCAGCCAGTGATCCCCTGCCCTGTCCCCTACAGCACTACACCTCAGATGCAGATGGACTATGCACTCGGCTCATCAAGCCAAAGNGCCTGGATCCTAGATCGATGCTCAACTACTGAGCCACACCCGGCCGGGCTGTGTGTGTTTTTAATATTTATTTTTAGAGAGAGAGAAAGGGAGAGGGAGAAAGAGAAACATCCATGTGAGAGCAGAACACTCTACTCTCACATTGGCTGCCTCCTGCACACCCCCTACCGGGGATCGAGCTGCAACCTGGGCATGTTCCCTGATCGGGAATCGAGCCAGCAACATTTTGGTGCATGGGACGACACTCAACCAACTGAGCCAACACCAGCCAGGGCACTATCCCATTTCATAGGCCAGGAAATGAAGGTTCAGAGCAGTTAAGAGACTTGCCTGAGGTCCCATAGCTGTAAATTGGAGGTGCCAGGACTTGAATCTGAGTCTGTCTGATCCTAGAATTAGCTTCCTTCCAGCCACTTACAGAACTATAAGCATGTCCTCATGAGCTACACCTTAATGACCAGGGTCCCCTGGGCTCATGTACCTGCAAGGATGTGCTCACATGTCCCTGTAGCTCCTGAGGCCAGCTCTGCCAGCCCTGGCCTGGTCACACCTGTAGCCCCAGGCAGCCTGCTAGGTGCCTCATGAATTCACTCTCTGCTTCTTCCCCTTGCCCGTCTGGCTTGGTCTCTGGCAGGGGAGGGTCCTGGGCATGCCTGGCTACAGGCTGGTGTCTGGACTTAGTGAGGGCTTGCCCTCTGCCTGGGAATGCTGATGAGGACCAGAGTGGTAGCAACAGTGGGGGATCTGTCCAGCAACTGAGTGTGGGGTAATGTGTCAGTGTCTGGGGCCTCCTTAACCCAAGCCTTGCCAGAAATAGGGAGCCCTCTCAAACCAAAGCAACTTGGGGCTGGGTGGGATGAGCCTCTGCCACCCTCTAGTGGTCAGACCGTGGCAGTGCGTGTGAGCAGCCAGTGATCCCCTGCCCTGTCCCCTACAGCACTACACCTCAGATGCAGATGGACTATGCACTCGGCTCATCAAGCCAAAGGTCATGGAGGGCACAGTGGCAGCCCAGGATGAGTTCTTCCGCAGTGAGTGCCAGTCCCACCCCCAGTCCTCACTTGCCTACTTGCCTCCTGCCACCCAGGCTTCTTGGCACTGCCCCATCCCAGAGGCTCTGGAGACTTCCATGGAACCCCACACATTATAGTCCAGTCGGCCTCTGTCTCTCTTGCTGTGAACTCTGCTCCAGCCTCGGCACCCCTCACTGGACCCCTTTCCTTCCACCAGGTGGCTGGGCGCTGAACATGAAGGACCTGAAGCTGCTACAGACCATTGGGAAGGGGGAGTTTGGAGGTGAGCAGGAGGAGCTGGGAGCCCTTCGAGGGGCCAAGGGACTGTAGGAAGTCTGGGAACACCCCCCAACTCTGTCCCCCCAGATGTGATGCTGGGTGATTATCGAGGGAACAAAGTTGCCGTCAAGTGCATTAAGAACGATGCCACTGCCCAGGCCTTCCTGGCTGAAGCCTCGGTCATGACGTGAGTTGGGTAGGGGGTAGGTGGGGAGGTTGCCCCTCATGGTGGGGGGTGGAGGGTGATGAGGCTTGGCAGGCTCTGATCACTCCATCCTGCCCCAGGCAACTTCGGCATAGCAACCTGGTACAGCTTCTGGGCGTGATCGTGGAAGAGAAGGGCGGGCTCTACATCGTCACTGAGTACATGGCCAAGGTGTGTGCCAGCCCCAAGATTTACTGCTTTGCTAGAGCTGACCACTAGGGCTTTCCAACTGCCTCAAGCCCCCCACTGCACCTTTGGGCCCTGCTCTCAGTCCCCTCCTTCCAACTGAGCTTTGAAGTCTCCAGGGCTTGGCTTTTGTCCTGGCTCATCATTTATTCACTTTGACTTGGGACAAGTTGTATCACCTCTCTACATCTCAGTTTCCTCACCTGTGAAATGGAGATACTAACGGTTTACTTCAGAGATTGATGAGAATTAAGAGATAATGCATGAAAATGGCTGAGCAGTGTCCAGCTGTAGAACCTAATATTCAGCTCCTCCCCTTTCCTCATACCTCCCTTGGGTGTCACCCTTTACCCAGCCCCAGGTCCACTGTTCCCAAGGGCTGGAGGGCAAGTCTGATCTGTGGGCCATGGTCTGTCTCTCCTGTCCCAGGGGAGCCTGGTGGACTATCTTCGGTCACGGGGTCGATCGGTGCTTGGCGGAGACTGTCTCCTCAAGTTCTCACTGTGAGTGAAGCAGCCCCTGGGGGAGGGGGCCTTACCCTGCTATGGGAGGCCTATCTGAGGGGATATGTGGCCGGCTTGCCCCCAGAGATGTCTGCGAGGCTATGGAATACCTGGAGGGCAACAACTTTGTGCATCGGGACCTGGCTGCCCGAAACGTGCTGGTATCTGAGGATAATGTGGCCAAGGTCAGTGACTTTGGCCTCACCAAGGAGGCCTCCAGCACCCAGGACACAGGCAAGCTGCCAGTCAAATGGACAGCCCCCGAGGCCCTGAGAGAGAAGGTGGGTGGGCCTCCCCCCAGGTCCTGAGCAGTGGTGGACAGGGGTCCTGGGTCACCCTACCCCCAAATTCCCAGGACCTGACACAGCTTTCCCCATCCATGTGGCAGAAATTCTCCACCAAGTCCGACGTATGGAGTTTCGGAATCCTTCTCTGGGAAATCTACTCCTTTGGGCGAGTGCCTTATCCAAGAATTGTGAGTATGGGTGCTGGGGTGGGCCATGACTGGGGCTGTGGGAGGGGTAAGCAGGTAGTGGGGCCTCCCTGGGCTCTGCTTCCCTAGTCTGAGGCCTAAAAGCTGCAGCCTTGTCCTCAGGACCTTTGAGGCAACTTCCAGGGCCTGGGTGTGCAGCAGAGCTGAAGGGGACCCCTGAAGAAGAATGCTGAGTAGGGGTCCCCTCCAGGGGTCAGACCTGCACAGACTCATACCACCCATCTGCCCTTAGCCCCTGAAGGACGTCGTCCCTCGGGTGGAGAAGGGCTACAAGATGGATGCCCCCGACGGGTGCCCACCTGCAGTCTACGAGGTGATGAAGAACTGCTGGCAGCTGGATGCCGCCACACGGCCTTCTTTCCTGCAGCTCCGAGAGCAGCTTGAGCACATCAAAACCCACGAGCTGCACCTGTGACGTCCGGGCTCGCCCAGGTCATGGGCCTCTGGGCGCTGAACCTAGAGTGACTGGACCTCATGTCCCCACTTGCTGGGCCCAAGTCTGAACTGAGCCCAGTGGACTTCTTTCCTCTGTCCCAGCCTGTGCCCCCTCTGGCCCCACCCCCAAGGACCCTGCCTAGGCCTGGCATCTTCTCTGTACCCACCCGTGGGGTTTGGGGAGCCCCACTGAAGGCCAAGAAGAGAGGAGGCTGAGGAGCAGGAGGCAAACGCCCCGCCATGGTCAGGCTTCCCCTGGCCTCCCATCTCCCACCTTCCTAGAGTTTTATTCCTTTCCTTTTTTGAGGTTCATTTCCATGTGCTTATTTTTTATTATTTTTCAAGATAAGGAGAAAGAAAGTACCCAGCAAATGGGCATTTTACAAGAAGTACGAATCTTATTTTTTCTGTCCTGCCCACCAGGGTTGGGGAACCAGACCCCTCTCCAGGGACCCGTCACCCCAGCCTTGTTCCCCATTCCGTGTTTCGTGTTCTGTGTCGCCTCGGTCGCCCTGTGTTTGCGCTTGACCATGTTGCACTGTTTGCATGCGCCCGAGGCGGACGTCTGTCAGGGGCTTGTAGCTCATGTGTGCTGCTGCCACCTGTCTTGTGAGATGGAATCGTAATAAACCACTCCATGAGGAGACCACTGCCCAGCCTCGGCGCTCACTCCGCTGAGCCTGCCTGCCCCCCATCCCTATCCCCATGCCATCTTGCCCACTCCCTGTCTCTGTGAGTGGGGCTGTGCTTGCCCTGTGAGTGGAGGGGGTGGGGAGCACAGCCGGGAGAGGTGGCTGCCGCTTCGTGTCAGCTGTACCTGCAAGTGTCCTGTGTCTGCCATGAGAGCTCTAACCACCTACCCTCCCTGCCATTCTGCTGTAGCCCAGGCTTGGCCCTGGGACCATTTGGGCTCTGGGGCCCTGGCTGCCTCTCCCGCCGTGTTGTTGAAGCCATCAGCATAAGGAGGGCTCGAACCAAGCATTGGGGGGGCAGGCCTGACCAGATAGAGATGGGGGTTCCCCTGGTAGGAGGAAAAGTAAATACCGGAGAAGATGTTGACCATGGAGGGAGAGTGAGAGAGGAAGGAGGCTCCGAGCTGCTGGTGGTTCTCATAGTTCACATAAGGTGGAAGAGCACTGCCCAGCCCTGTGTCTGAGGATGCAATGTAAGGGGCCTCTGCGGGGCACAGATGGAGAATGAGGACTAGCCAGGGCATTTTCTTCCCCTCAGGCTCCCAGGGCAGTAATCAGTATAGAACCTCTGAGGGTCAGGAAGAGGCCCACTTCATTCAGACACAGGCAGCTGGGGGTCCTCTGGGGACAGGAGCTGGCCCAAAATCGAGGCAGTTCTTTTTTTGTTGTTTATTTTAGAGAGAGAGAGGAGAGAAAGAGAATGTAAGAGAGAAACATCGATTGGCTGCCTCCCATATGCGCCCTGACCAGAGATCGAACCCAAAACCTCTGACTGGGAATCTAACCTTTTGGTGCACGGGGCTATTCTCCAACCAACTGAGGCGTACCCACCAGGGCTCCAGGCAGTTCTGACTCGTGTGCCTTGTGCCTGCACTGCCCTCCAGCCAACATCATCTCCCACCCCCACCTCGGCCCAGCACAGCAGCTTGTCTCTCCCAAATCTGTCTTCTCTGCACACTGCCAGACTTTTTTAAAACTAGACCACTCAACAACAAATATTTTAAACCTACGGTGTGCTAGGACGAGTTCAGTAGTGAGTAAAACAGACCCTGTAAGAGTTCACAGTTAGGAAGATAGTCACAAAGACGGTTAGTTACAACCCTTACAGGTGTTGCTCAGTGGTTAGAGCATGAGCCCGCGCTGAAGGGTCTCAGGTTTGATTCCCAGTTAAGGCATGTACCTGGGTTGCAGGTTCGATCCCCAGCCTAGTCTGGGCCTGTGGGGAAGGCAACCAATCGATGTGTCTCTCTCACATCGATGTTTCTTCTCTCTCTCCCCCTCCTTCGCTCCCACTCTAAAAATAAATGGAAAAAATGTCCTCAGGTGAGGATTAACAACAACAACAAAAAGACAGTTAATTACAAAACTGTTAAGTGGTGTGAAAGAAACTTGAAGTGATGGAACAAGAAGTGAGTGGGAATGACCCATTAAGGGGAAGGGACTGCCCTAGAGGGAGTCACAAAACTGGGGCTGCAGTGGGTGGAGAGCTCTGATTTATAGTTGATACTGTGTCCTACTCTTGGGGATTTTGACAATGGGCTCTCACAACTGGTTCAACCCAGCTTGGTTCAGAAACAGGCAATGGTGCCAGTGGCCATGCATCATGAGGGGCCAGGCAGGCACCATAACAGTTGGACCAGGTGTGACAATTGGGAGTGAGAGGCAGTGCAACTGATGGGGCCCTGCTGGAATGCAGGCCCAGGTAGCCAGAATGTTCCTATTCTTTCCACCTGCTGGCATGTAAGCTTCCTTCATTACTCCCCCTTTCTTTCACTTGGTTTATAGTTTTTTTTTGTTTTCCCCTTTCTTTTCTCTCATCCTTCTCTCTGTTCTGTGCTGGCCACTGGCTCATCATAATGAGGCAGACACAATTCTCACCCTCCAGAAGCTCATGAACTAGTGGGGACCCCACTCAGACTCAGTGCCCAGAGTCGTGGGGATTTCCTACAGCCCATGACAAGCCCGTGAGACAGAGGAGGTGGGAGGTGGGGGCAGCTTCTCAGACCTTGGAGGATAAGCAAGTACAGAGAGCGAGTGTTCTGGTAAAGAAAGGGCACTGCCTAGCAAAGGCCACGGTGAGGTACTTGAGTGTGGTTTGGGAGCAAGTAAGGCTGAAGAGAAACAGCCCAGACCCACCTGGCTTTGCAAGCCCCACAAGGCAGTTTAGCTTTATGCAGAGATGACCAGGAGCAATTGAAGGGTTTCGGACAGGAATGACATGGTCAGATCTGTATTTTAGAAAGATCCTTATGGCTACAATCTGGCCTTGAGGGTAAGGGATGTGTACCAAGTGGAGACAGGGAGGTGGTGATTGATGGTACCTTGGACTGGAGAAGCCAGTAGGAGGTGGAGAGAGATGAACACAGCTAATGTTTTACTGACCTGAGCATTCTGTCTACCAGGCCTTGTTCTAACCCTTCAAACAGCTCTTGGAGATACATACTATTATTATCCGTTTTACAAGGAACTGAGGCTTGGAGAGACTTAGGGATGGTAGTATGAGAGGGCCAGAGCATACTGAAGAGCTTGCTGATGGGTGATGACAGGAAGAAGCAGAAGGGATCTTGGGGTTTCAGTCTCTGGCTCCGTAAGGTGGGAGTGCCACCCATGAGACACCAGCCATGGAATAGGATGGGCTGAGGGATGGCGAAGAGGAGTTTGGTTTGGACATGTCATCTAGAGGCCTATGTGACATCCAAGCAGAGTTGTCCCCTGCAGAGTTGGACGTTTATTCAGGCCTAAGGCTCTGGGGAGAAGATGAGCTGAAAGTAGAGATTTGAGGATCACGGCACAGCAGAGTAGTGCTTGAAGCCATCGGCATGGACAAGCTTGGCCAGGAAGCATGTGAGTGAGGAGAGATGCCCCAGTGGAAGGGCTGGGGAGGCAGAGCAGTGGCAGAGGAGCTCGGGGAAGCTAGGAAGCTGGGGGGAGGCACGCGGCCTTGGGCAGGGCTGGGCGTGGGGGATGGATATTCATAGCATTTCACATCTCAGAGACTGGGTTACAGAAGTATCCACTAGGCACAGAGAACAGGGGCCACTGCCAGGCCTTGCTGGAGCAGTTCTCACCCAGCAGGGACAGGAGCTGGGAAGATCAGTGGGAGATGAAGAAGCAGGGTCCAGGCGGGACCCACCTTTCTACAGCTTGCCTGTAAAGGTGCAGCAGAAAGCGAGTGAATGTGCCTGAGGGTTTAGTGTTGAGAAATGAAGTTTTTCTTTTAGCATGTCCTAAAATTTTCCATTTACAGCCTTGATTTTAATTAATTTGCAGAGCTTCAGTAACTGAATCCTACCAAGAACTTACAGTACAGTAAACCTCAGCTATCCTGAATTCTTGGAGAAAGAGCCACTCTGGAAAACCAACATTTATTTGGATAAAAATACTTGAAGTACAGGATTACTTACTTTTTAAAAATGTGCTTATTAAAAAAAAAATTACAAATGTAAACATTTAACTTCAAAAATATGATTTGCAGATAAAACTCAATAAAAATGCATGCACATTCTTTTACATAAAAAAATTCTTTTAAATAAAACTATAATTATTATGGAAATTATCAAACATATAAAAGTAGAGGGAAGAATATAATGAGCCCACCATCCAGCCTGAAGGGCTATCAGTTCAAAGCCAAATGCTGTGCCATCCACAGCCCCCAAGCTCTGGGGCATTTGGAAGCAGATCCTAGACACTATATCGATTTCTCTAGAAAGCTTTAGTATGTTTCTCCAAAAGACAAAAGACTTAAAAAATATATAACAAAAAAACTTAACGATATTCCTTAATTTAATCAAATATCCATTGTTCAAATTTCCTCAATTGTCTCATTCCCCCCCTTGCCGTAGTTGGTTGGTTAAAATTAGGCTTCAAACAAGGTTCACACACTGAATTTGTTTGTCTCTCTTTTTTTAAATATATCTTTATTATTTCAGAGAGAGGAAGGGAGAGGCAGAGAGAGAGAGAGAAACATCAATGATGAGTCATTGATTGGCTGCCTCCTGCACGCCCCTTACTGGGGATTGAGCCCACACCCAGAGCATGTGCTCTGACAGGGAATCGATTCTCAATCTCCTGGATCATAGGTCGATGCTCAACCGCTGAGCCACACCAGCCGGGCTGTTCTGACTTTCTATTTTGCATGTAGTTTATTTGTTGAGGAAATTAGGCTGCTTAGAGGCATGAGCCTTTGGGACCCTGGTAGAGAGCTGAGCATGACAGTGAAGAGAGCAGGACAAGGAAGGATGGGGTGGATGCTGGACACACAGTCAGGACATCCGCCTGCAGGACAGAGGCAGCAGGCAGCAGGTGGAGGCCCTTCCAGAGCCAAGAGGAGAGACAGGGCTACTGAAGGGTGGGCTTGTCCCTATGATCCCTGAGGTCCCTCGAGCTGAGGGAAGGTAGAAAGATGGCAGAGGCAGAGCTCAGGTTGGCCAAGTGAGGGCAGAACAGGGCCTGAGGTCAAGCCCAGAAGGAAAGGGATGTCTGTGTGGGGAGGGAGGAAGAGTGCAGTGCCAAAAGTCAGTACTCAGCTCCTTACCACCTGACCTCCCAAGCAGAGGTCCACCCGGAGCCCAGACACTAAATCTTTCTACAATACCTATGGGCAGTAGCCCTGATCCCTTGCTCTGCCTTCTCCTCCTCCTCCTGCTCCTGAGGGCTGTGGGGGGCCATCCTCCTCATTGAAAGTTTGAGTACAAGCTCAGCTTCAAAGGACCAAGGCTAGCATTACCTGGGTCTGGGATGCCATTCTGGAGGCATCATGGAGGTAAGGGGTGGAGTGGGGTTCCTCAGAGTGCTGGTACAGCTGACCACTTGGGGTGGCTGTGACTTGGTGAGAAGTGGGTCTGCCAGTACCAGTGTCTGCCCAAGATGGGCCCAGGCTTGGGGCAGGCAGTGCCAGGGCCTCAAGACCCCTCCCAGGCTTGCCTCCTGTTCCACCCACCACATCACACCCCTATCCACCAACCTCAGTTTTTCCTACCTGCCTCTTTCCTTCTCTGCCCTAGGGTTTCTCTTTTCTACTTCTTCTGGCTCTCCTTGGAGTACCCTCCCACGCCCCCACCCCTCCCTCTAAGACCCATGAACACACACACATGCTCACATGCTGAGTTCCAGACACAGAGACACAAGGCATTTTGGTCCAGCACAAACCTCTACTCTCCTAGCTCCACACTGTTGGGCCTATGGCTGTCCGTGAGACCTGGGGGGCTGCCTGGAGGGGGCACTTCATGGCCGGCTGTTTTGCCAGAGACAGCAGCTTTGACCTGCACTGGGTGGAAGCAGGCATGAGACCATCTTAGCCCACAGGTCTGTGTTCAGGGCCTTCCAAACCCAGACCTACAAAGAGTCTGTCTTCTACCTAATATTGTTCAAAAAGATTATTGAGGAGTTACAAGGAGCTATGCAATAGGAAGGAGCTTAAATTAGGAGTGAGCAAGAAGAATGAGGCTTAAGGTTGGGGCTGAGGCATAAAATGAGTCCAGGAATATGGCCAAAACAGGTTTGCCCAGGTCATGCCAAGGTCTGTGCACCCTTCAGAGTTGGGCCATGGATCTGGTTCAGAGCTTCCTAGCAGGCAAAGCAAAGAGAAGCAGATCCATTGTGTATTTCTGTGTCTATGAGATGTAAGTTCTGAAAAAAGCACTATTTCTAACTGAGACCAGAACAAATATCCCTTTAAGATGCCAGGCCCTATATCAGGGTCTTGGCCCAATCCTGCTCACAGAGGCACAAGGAAGTAAACAAAGGATGGACTGTTTCTCACAGCACCAAGCCAGGCTCTGCCTCAGGGCCAGGATGACAGGGACTGTACCACACTCACTGCTGTGGGCTTTGCCAAGTCTGGGGGGGTGTCACAGACCATGTGGGGGAGAAAATCACCCAGTGTATGCTCATTGTCAATTCACTTATTCATTGATCCTTTTATTGGACTCCCACCTCCATGTCCCTCTGTGCCCAGCTCCAAGACAAAGGGTTGCATCAGGCTCAAGGAGCTCACAGTTCCATGAACTATCCACATAAGGCTCAAGGCATAAGTGTAGTAGACAGTAGGCAATCCTTGCCTCCTGAAAGTCACTTCAGAGGCAGTTGGTGGCTTCCAAGGACCCCCAGGACTTCTAGCTTTGCAGCCCCGGGCCTTCCTACTCCCAGCCCTGGCCTTTGTCAAGCAAACAGGCTGGAATAGCAGTCTCTGGAAAGACTTGGCAGGGACTGAGCCCTAGGCCAGGTTCCAGTCTGGCAGGATGGAGGGGTGAGGAGCCAGCTTGGGTGGGGAGCCAACTAGGGTGGGGTCTCTGATTTCCCTTCCCCTGGTTCCTGCCAATCCTGCCTCAGTTTCTCTTAACTTTTCTCTGTCCTATAAAATAGGTCTCCTTCATCCCCCTCACCTCCACCAATGATAATTCTCACACACACTCACTCCATCCTTCACCCTCTCTTCTCAGTCCTTCAAGCTAATTTCACCTTTGCTTTCATGTTTTCCTTACCTTCTGTTGCTCTCCCTTAAACTCCCCCACCAGGAAGCGCCCCCAGCCTCATTTGGGCACACTGGAGTCCTCCACGTGGTTAATTCTCTCAAAGTGCTCTCCTGTGTTCTATGGTCTCAGGCAGGTCCTTTTCCCTCATAGGGCCTCAGTCTCCTCATCTGATAAACAGAAAGGGTTGTACACAAAGCTCTCTCCTGGTGGAAGAAGCTTGTATTTTGGAGTTAGATGAAGCTGAGTTCCAATCCACTTAATTACTTAACTTTTCTGAGCCTCAGTTTTCTCATCTGTAAAATGGGGGTCTGATAAAAAGAGACTGCACAGACTCATGGTGAGGCTCCAGTGAGAATGCAGGCAAAGAGCCCTGCGTGGGTCTGGCATTTGTTGCCCTCCCCCATGCCAGGTTCCAATGCTCACTGTCAGTGGATTCCTCGGTCTTACCAGCCAGCCTGGTATTTAATGGCAGGCCTTGATGCTTCTTGTCCTAGATCCCAGCCAGGCCAATGAGAGAGAATAATGGGGAGGAAGGAAAGGTGAGACCCAGGCCCTGAGTTGCCCTGGTCCACAGACACCATCCAGGCCTGAAGGAAGTGCAACTGGTCCCATCCGTGTGGAACTGAAGCGGTGCAGTGTGGAGCAGGGCCCCTGTCCTCTTCTCTGGCTGGGTGACCAGGCCAGGGCACCAGGGAGTCCAGGTCATGGTGAGTGGGTCAGGGAGGTGGTTGTGAGTCCCGGGTTCCAGTAGCCCACAGAGGCGTTGAGCAGCTGGGGACCCATAGGTTCTGTGGCACACCCAAGAGCAGGGGCGAAGTCAGCTCTGTTTGGAGAAGCCTGCCTTGAGGGATGGCATTGGGATCCTCTTCGACCCCTCAGCCCAGGATACCCAGGTGAGTAGTGGTCTCCTGCCTGCCCTCTGCCCACACCCACACCCTCCTCCTTGTGCCCACAGCTCAGGCTGCTTGTCACATCCCATGTAGAACAGCCTTGTAATCCATGTGCTGGCCAGAGAAGAGCACATTCTCTACAAGTGGCTTCAGTAAGGGCCTGTCTGGACTGACTCCTACCCCCATTCTTGGGCTGTATCCACACTGCCCATGTGTGCCTCTGTCCCAGCCTTTGACAAGGAGCCTACCCCTCCTAGGGCTGGGCCTTCCTTGCTCATCTGAGCTGATAGCTCAGAGATAGTGCCTCCCTGGGCCCAGGAGCAGAGTTTGCTTGCCCTTCCTGGGAACTGCCTCAGGAAGTCCTCTGTTCGTTCAACCCAACAGCTCCAGATCTGTGGGGGTCGTGAAAAGATGCTGGTGAGGCCTGTGTTGAGTGTTTTCTCTCGCATCATCTCATCTGATGCCCAGCATTCTTGAGAAGTGGGATTGTTAGTCCCCAATTACAGGTGAAGATATTGAGGCTAAGAGGTGAAGTAACTTGCCCGAGGTTACACAGCTGTGTACTGACCTGAGATTTGAGTCCAGACTTGTCTGTGGAGGGTCCACGCCTTTCCCCCTGTGCCAGCTGCCTGTCAGCATCCTTCCCTTTCTCCAGAAGATGTGGCTCTCCCTCACTCCCCAGCCCACTGTCTCCTCGGTAGCTGGGCGGCTTCATCAGTGTCTCTCAGCAAACATCCCTTAGCTCATAACTATTAGAATAATTGCTGACATTTATGGAGCAGAGCTTACTGTGTGTCAGGCACAGCACCAAGCACTTCACATTCACTGTCTTAGATAACCCTCGTAACAATGTAATGAGGTAGTTTCAATTATTATCCTCATTTTAAAGATGGGGATGTGGGAGTTTGGAAAGGTGAGGTAACTTGCCCAAGGTCACAGCTAGGAGGAACATGCAGGTGGCTGCTCGGAGCTGGCTTCTCCCTGCTCTGTGCCACCTTCCTCTGGTCTGAAGGTTGCAATGACAGGTTCTCTGCTATGAGCAGTGCCCATGGTCTGTGTGCCCAGAGAAACTCAGGACCACTCAGGCTCAACACCCTTCTAACTCCCCAGAATCTGCTGCACAGCCCTGCGGGACAGGTGGGCTGGTTGTATTGTCCTTGTCCACTAGGATACATCTTGTGTTGTCTGTCCTGAGTCTGTCCTACTACAGTCCAAGCTTTGCAGAGGGACAGGAAAGAGAGGCCCTGCATAGAGGCACAAGGGGACTTGGAGTTTAAGGAAAGGGGAAAGAGGGAGGGACAGTGGGAGGAGGTGGTGGGCCTGGGGATTGAGTACAAAACCCCACTTTGAGTCCAGCCTCTGTCCCCCTGAGGAAGAATCACAGAAAGACCCTTGGCCTCTTCTGTAAACTCCAAGTCCCTGTACTCTGCCAGGCAGGACTTGCTTTCCCGCCTCTCTCTCCAGCTAAGGTAGCAGCCTATGGCAAGGGAGACTCAAGCTAGACAAGAGGGACATGCCCCAGCAGATCATCCAGTTTGGGGGATGTGGCAGGGCAGGCCTGAGAAGAATGGCTTCTGCGACCACCCCCACTGTCCAGGCCTTGGGTCCTGTGTGGCCCTCCTGGACTCCAAGTCCCCACAGAGAGGGAGCCAGCCAGCTGCTGGGCTCTTGCTACCACGACTTCCGGAACTGGCCATACCCCTTCAGAGCACAGCTCACCAACTAGGAGCACAATTTGCCCATGAACAGGTCCTACACATGCATGGCCTCTTTTGCTTTTGCAGGTTCTACGAACAAGCAGAGTGTGCAGATTACAGGGCTCATAGCTACAAAGATGCTGTGTGACCTGTTGTCCATGACCTCAACAGATGCATGCCTATGACCCCACACAGGGTCCCTGGAACACATGGGCAGCACATACAAAGGATCCTCCTCCCTACACAGAACCCTAACTGGCCCTAAGCACATACCTGTGAGGCTAACATGAGACCAGGTGTGCAAACCCCTCCATGCTACTCTGACACCAAGTCCTGTGGCTGCCTGCAGCCCTGTAGGGCCAGGGGAGCCAGAGACTCATAGACTCATAGTTGGGGATAATTTCCCCTGCTTGGGGCAAGCAAGAGGAGAGGGCCCCATCTGTAAGCTGCTTACTCCCTCCATGCCCCTCAGCTGTCCTTGAACCTGCTTTTGGCTCCTAGAAGTTTCCCTGGGGTCTCAGCAGTCACCAGAATCCTGCCTGACAGGTAAGAGCAGAGGAACGGTGCCTTCCTTCTAAGGAACACTGGGTGTATTGCCAGCTACTTCCTCAACATGTGACCTGGGCAAGTTACGAGTCCTCTCCTGTCTGCCTTGCAGAGTTGTTGAAAGTCTCAAATAGGACAAAACAGGATAAATAGGATAAAAAATAAAAACTTTTATTCCAGTGTTGGCCCCATAATTGCCCCTGGCTGGGAGCTGTGGGGCAAGTGGGATAAGGACAGTCATGAGGGATGTTTAGGGGAAATGGAACAAAGGCTATAATGGAGAGTCCATAGAGGGACGCACAGTACAGTGGGAGTTTGTGAATGCCAAGACTTCAGTCTTTAGACTCTGGGCATTGGGGAGCCATGGAAGGTTTCTGAGGAGAGTGACATGGTCAGAGCCATGCTGAGAAGGTAGCCACTGTGTGGTCACTTTTGTCAGTAGCACCCTGGGGGCCTTAGGGTGTCACTCAGTCTGCATCCATGGCTCTAGCCCAGGATTGTCCAATTTTCTTACTGGGGGCCCACTTCTGGCTAGTGGAGGAGGTCAACCATCACAGCCCACCCATGTGTTTATGTGACCTTCATACCTTTCTTATGGACAAAGCAAGACAAGGGTCAGAGCTGCCTAAGGTCACAGATCTTTTGCCTGCCTGAAATATAATGGAACCTGGGGGGTGAGGACTGAGTGAGTGAGCTTCTAGGGGCAGGAGTTCTTCCCTTCCCTTCTCTATCCCACTTTCCCGATGACCATAATGTCTTGTCCTTTCCGACCTTCGGTCTGAGTGAGCCAGGTCCAGAGGTGATGTCACCCATGGGCCCACCTTGTGGAGAGGGCTGGGGGAGAGGCAGCTCAGGGATCTTCCCTTCCCAGATGCTTCAGCTCATTTCATGGTGCCATCAGACCTGCCATTCCAACTGTTACTTCCACCTGCTCTGTGAGCTTTACCCAGGCCAGGCCTTGTGCTGGGCAGCGCTGAGGACAGAGGTGACCCAGAGTCAGGCCTTATCCTCAAGGACCACCCAGGCTGGCTGAAGGCTGTGGGAGCACAGAGAAGGGGTTCTAACCAGCCAGGGTAGCAGGAAAAACTGCCTAAAAGAGAAGAGCTTGAAGGAGCAGTTAACTGAGCGGAGGAGTGGCGTAGACAAAGGCTTAAGACCTGAGAGAGCTGTAAGGCTCAGACACCCAGAAACTACAGGGCCTAGGGGCTGAGCTGAGGGAGAACCAGGGCTCTTCCCTGGCCGAGTTGAACGTATGGTCAGGGAGGAGAACTGGGTTTGTGGGAAGTCCTGTGGGAAGTCTCCCCTCATCCCCAGGTCTCCCATAGGTTTCAGGCCCAAGTTTTTGTCTTCCTCCTCCAGGCTCCACTGCAGCCTTTCCTGGAGATGGAGCAGCTCCACCAGGCAAGGCAGCTAGAAGGGCTACAGGCAAGGCTGGCCCTGGGCACCAGGGAAGACATGATTCCAAAGCTGAGCTCCAAAGACCAGGAAGAGGGTAGGAGCTCAGGGAGCAGGCAAGTGGGGAAGGGGCCCATTTGAGTATTATAGGAGCCTCTTCCCTTCATTCAGGAGTTCATTAACCAATGGAGGCTATATCTAAGCAGTCCCTGGGGCCTAGGTGCTCTCTCCTGTCCCCACCCAGACACATCTTTCCAGGGGAGAGTCCTAGAGGCAGAAGCCATGCCTTTCTGCCGTCCCTCCAAGAAGCCCCCAATAGATAGGATCTGTTGCACCACCCCAGCTGGCTGGCTGTCCCAACTCTGTACCAATCCCCAGGGGAAAGAATCTTTGACTTGGAGGAAACATTGAACAGACACAAGCAGATCCTGCAAGGTCTCTCTGAGCACTTGGCCCAGGCTAAGAGACAATGGAAGTAGCAGCTAGCAGCTGGGGTGCCTAAGTCAGGCCAGGCCTAAGGGAGCCTGGGTGAGTGGCCCTTGGAACATCCATGCAGAAGCTGAGCTCCCTAGGCACTGGACCCCATGGCATCAGTAGGCTCCCTGTGTCCCGAAAGAAGAACAGGCACTATACTTGGGAACTACTGTCTGCCAAGGTCTGGAGGGAAAGAAGAGCAAGGGTGAAATGCTATAGGCCATAGGATGGGATAGACCTGCCAGGCAGGGGATTGTGCAGGAGGGTAGCTCTGCACAAGCAAATGCCCAAGGGGCCACACAGCTGGGACTGGAGAGAGGAGATGCCAGGTATTGGGATGTAGGTCTGTAGACAAGTGACAAAAATAGACTGGGTTCTAATTTCCATGTAGTTCCACATGTGACTTGATTCACATACAGCTCAATGCTCAGATGCACCAGAGTCCTCGTTTCATCTCCTCCACTGCCATCCTGGCTCCTCCCCCGGGAGTCATGTCCCATGGCATGCCCAGCCTGAAACCTGAGAGTTGAACCAGCCAAGATGTTAGATTCTGGGCAGAAGAGGCCAGCGACTCCTGTGAGTTTTACTGGGCTCTGGTAGCTTGAGGTTTGAATCTTGTGTCCTCAGGTCAGAGCAGCTGAGGCTGGGCTACTGGAGTGGCACCACACTCCAAGGCTAGGCCTCTCTAATCCCACTTCCAGGTCCAGGATCCTTCCTGACAGATTCTATTCACCCCAGAGAGGCCATCTCTCTAGGTCACTCAGCAAGACAGGGGCTCAAGCACTGGGAGTTGACTGGCACTGGCCACAGCTTGGACTGTGCTCCAGGGGAAGTGGGGAGGAGAGGACTAAACTCAGCCTCTGTCTCCTTCAGGGGTAGAACCATTTCTGGAAAGTGGGGGGAAGGGGGCACCTGAGAAATCCCAGGAGTGGCTACTGTCTGAAGGAAGAGAGGGACCACCCTCAGGGAGAGGGGTTTGAGAGGAGGGGGAATCCAGAATCCAAGATGGACAGGGGTCAGATAAACTCAATGTGTACATAATAAGGAAGGCTAAGTAATCTGGTGAGGCCTCTAGAAGGAAGAGGGCTGCAGTGCCCTAAGGAAGGTGGACTCTGAGAACAGAGGGGCTGTGCTCTGGGCCCTAGAGAAGAGGCTTGCTTTCTTGCAGGACTCTGCCAAAGTCAGCACCATGTTCTGTGGACAGTGGATTCTGCTCTAGGACCTGTAAGAGATGAGGTAAGGGCACAGGAATAAGAGGAGTCATGAGGGTGGAGGGAAGAGAAGCTGCTCTCCACCACCTTCCCACCCGACATTCCCTCCCCAGGGGGGGATAGTAAATCTGAGCCCCTGGAAGGAGGGGACATTTTGGTGGGGTTCTTGGAGGAAGCACAACCAAGATCAAGCCAAGTGGTGGTAGGAGGTCCCTGACTTCCTTTTGCCCCCTCTAATCTCCCAGCATCCCACTCTAGGACAGGTCTCTGGAGCTACCCATAGAGCCCTAGTGACAGGGGGTCACCTTGATGCCAAGGAGGAAGGAGGCTTCAGGCTGGATGCTATGGCTGCAGCCCAATCCCTGTCCCCTCATCTAGACTGGTAGTGAGAAGATGGGACAAGGAAGAAGAGCGAAATCTCCTGGGGGCTAGGGAGGCTGGGGTTGAGACAGATAGCTTTAGAGAGATCCTCCACTGAGCTAAAGCTATCTCAGGATCCAGAAAGGAAGTTTGGGGTAAGAACAGCCCCCAAGAAGGGGGCCTATAGATGGTGCTTGTTCCCCACCCATGTGCTGCCTCTGGGAATTATGAGAAATGGTTAGGCAGTTTGGTTGAGACCAGAATGAGTAATAAGTCCTCTCCCTTGGGTTCCACTCCTGACCGGGATGCAGAGACTCACATGGCTTCAAGCGCCCAGGTCTTCTACCTGCCTGTGGGCATCAAGCATCATTTCTTAGAGCTGGCCCAGATCCTGGGCCTCCTGCAGAAGGACCTTTGGGCCCAGTGGTAAGGGGAAAGGAAGGAGCTCCATGGGGGTTCCATCCCTGAGATGTGGGCTCAGCCCCTTCTTCTAATACTTCTACAGCCCCAGGCCCTCTTGTCTTAGCCCTCCCCTCCTTGGACCTTTGGAAGGCAAACCTGTGTCTGTATCTCTGTGTGCACACAAATGTGCACACAGGGACACATCTCATCTTCTCTCTGCCCTGTCTGCTCTCTGGAGAGTCCCACCAACTCTCAGTGCCAGCAAGGCCCTGGAGACCACTTCATCCAAGTCTCTCAATGACTAGAAGAGAAATGGGAGTGGGCTGTGCCCAAGATCATTCAGAGCATCCTGCTCTTCCCCAGACCCCTGCCCCATCTTGCTCTTTCCCTTGCCTTTACCATCACCATATCTTTTGCTCTCTATTTCTCTCTCTCTCATCTCAAGAACCTTTGGTCCCCTGATGATCCCAGGCCCCAGGCCTTCCCAGCTGTTCCCACAGATGGGGACATGGAAGCTGGGGAGGAGGGGGCAGCTTTTCATTCTTCCCCATTTCCAAGTTCTCCCATAGGTTTCAGGATCCTCCTCTTGTTGCCCTGGATGAAAACCATAGCACCCCAAGCCTAAGAGAGAGAATTAGAGCCCGCAATGTCAGAAAGCAGCAGACAAGGACCCCTGCCCACCTGGCCTGCCCCCAGGGCCCACCTCATGCCTGCAGCCCAGCGTCTTCCTGTTCTTCCTCCTCATTCAAACTATAGGTTTCTTTTCTACATGCACTTCAGGTGGGCCTTCCTATAGACACACCATTCTACACCTACCTAGCTTGGTCCTGGGGCATAGTCATTTGATTTGAGAGAGGGAACATTACAACCCAGCTCCCCATGCCTGGTCTACCAGCTGGCAATGAACAGTGCCCATTTTTTCAATAGGCGCTACTAATCACTTGTTCAGCCACTGATCCCATCTAAATCCTGCCCTCACAATAATCACTCTCTGAGGGTGAGAAATTAACAAGAACCTGATAGTCACATCCTATGTGGTCAGTGCTGTGATGACAGAAAGCTCAGGGGCTATAACAGTACAAGAAAAAACATTTGACTCAGCTTGGGGAGATCAAGGAATCGGCCTAGAAGGGATATTTGATATGGATCATCAAGGCAACTAGTTTTCCAACCTGATAAGTAAAATTACCAATACAGAGGAAACAGCATGAGAAAAGGCATGGAAGCATGAAAGAAACACAATATTTGGAGAAAAAGTGGCAAGTTTAGTACTGTCAGAGCAAAAGGTGGCACCAATTTGTGAAAATGGGCAAAAAGAATCACAAAGGCTGGGGGTAGGTCACTGTTTCTGCTTAGTGGGTGTTTGTTGAATGAGCGGAACATTTAGAGAAGTAGGGTGTGCTAAAGGACTCAGAAATGGGATTGACAGTTTTTGTTGGTGGAATTTCAAGACAAGAATAATAAGTGTAGGTGAGGGTGGTCCTGGAGGAGCAGTGAAGCGTGCTGTTTTAAAAGCAGAGTTGCAGACAGAACAACTTTCAGGTGAGGAGAAGAGCAAAGGTACGAGGTGGAATGATGACAGGTTTATGTTTTACGTAGTAGTGCAATGGTGGCTACAAGGCGGGATCCACGTGGACAGACCTTGAATGCCAAGGGGACGGTGTGGTTCTGAGAGGGCAGGCCAAAGGAGCCATAGAAAGGCCCAGATCAGGGGAGGCTGTGGTGCAGTAAGCGTAATAAGTGCAATAAGTGTAAGGAGCCTGCTCTTAAAAGCCCAGAAGGGAGAGGCCCAAGTAACCTTCTCCTCTCCCTGGCAGCAGGCAGGAGCTGGACAAGAGCCTTTAGGACTGTCTGTAGCCTTCCCCTGAGTCCTGCACCATGCATCCTTATGGCTCTGGGAGCTCTGAGGAGGCAGCCCCTCTCCCCCAGCATGCATGCATGCGTGACCTACCTCAAAGCCCTGAAGGAGTGTCTATTTCTCTTCACTGGGAGTGGATGGTTTCTAGGGGGTGTTCTAGGTCAGTATCTTCCCTCTGGATGCCAAGTTCCTACACATATCTCAGCTTTTGGGGCGCTCCAACCTTATTAGAAGTGATTTTCTTCTCTCCAAGCTTTGATACACTCATTTACCTTCCAGGTCTGCCTTTATCTCTCTGAAGGCTTTTCTACCTTCTCTAGAGAGGTAGCTAGGAGTGGGCTTCAAGCAGGCCAGGAGGCCAAGGGCTGGCCTGACCACCAAAAGACTGGATACCCCACCGACCTTGAGACCTGGACTATGGAGGGAGAGGGAGTCACAACTGTGTATAATTCTGTCTCCAAATTCACCAGAAGAAGGAAAAGGTGTCTCCAGGTCCCCTTTCTGGATCAACCCAGCCAGCATCACCATGAACAATTCTCTCTCTCCCAACTCCCTTCAGCTCTAGGGGTCAGAGGGTGCAGGTGCTTGATGGAGAACTTTGTGAGGCAACCCATGGAGCCATAATTGGGCTCTCTGGTCTCCCTCTCTTTCCCAGTGTGAAGCTCTTCAAGCAGCTGCTGGGGCAGCAAGTTGGGGAGAAGTATGAGGTAGGGCCCGGGGCTGGATTTTTGCCCCTCCCTGCTTCCCTCTGGGAAGAGTAGGGAGCAGGGTTCCCGGGGCGTGAATCAGCATATCCCATTGCCCTTGGGAGGACCCCACCCCAGAGGGCCCTAATTCGTTAGCAGTGCCTGGCAGAGCTTGGCGTTGAAGGCGCACGTGGGAGAGGCGGGAGTACAGAGCGGGCACGTGGCCCGGCCTCCTCAGCCCCGTGCACGCCCCCCTCCGCCTCCGCC